AGAGGGGAAGCTTGGCGAGATTCACCTTTTTTTCTTTTTTAATCGTAACGATNATATATATATATAAAATTTGTCTGACTTAAGTGTTTTTTCCTCGTTCGATTCGACTCGACTCGCGAAGAAATCTCGCGCAAAGAAAGAAGGCGAAAAGATGGAAGCACGTGCGAATAACACGCGCGCTTAAATCACTGGGAGAGCTCGAAATAATTCGAATAACTCGCGGCTATCCATCTTTATATCGCGGATGATTCACGAAGCAGTAAATGGTAGAATTTCGTATATTAAAATTTCCATAAAAATGTCGAGCCTCCTCCTACTAAATAACTGTTATTTATCCTCCTCCTATGTAAGGAAGGGAGACGCGTTTCCAACTACTTTTCACGTAAACTTTAACAACTATTCTCCAATGAAAACTCCAGAGAAAGAGAGAGAGAAAGAAAAGAAGAAAACGGTAAATGGCAGCAGGAACGATCCTAGATATCGGGGCTAACCGCGAGACGCACACACACACACACACACACACATACACATGCAACGCACACAATGATCGAAGAGCATAACGCAATACGAATAGAATCCATTGGCTGACCGTGCACAAGAAGTAACGGTGGGTCGTGATGCAAGCCGATTTCGAATGCATCGAGCGATCGTTGGTCGAGCGGAATAGCTGTCCCTTGCATAAAATTCATAGCGACTTTCTTCCCGAATGTGTGTGTCCCGGTTTCCTCCCGGTTCGGGGCCGCCACCAGCTTCTCCACGAGCTTCTTCTCTCGTTTCTATAGAGGAAACCCCCACTGGCGGTGAAACGTCCGGATATACCGGCGAGGGAGATCGTTCTCGCGGCTATCAAGCTAGACATCAGAAAAAGGCAAGTTAGATATCCTCGAATGGAAATAGATTTGCATACAATGACCGGGGGAGATAGGGGTATCGAGAGGAGTTGGCCGCGAGTTCGTGGCTAGTATGTGGATCGGAGGGTGGTTGGACGGAGGGAAAGGGCGAGGAGGAAGGTACGAATTCGCCGCCGGGGACGGATGACAAAGCTCTCGTTTCCGAAACGAAAAATCGTTTGGGCAACGTCCATTCTTCGTAGATCTTTTGTCGTCGAGGAAAGTCGCGCAGGATAAAGTTTCATCTCGAAGACTTTTAGGAGGAATTCGACCAGATCGTTGACAAAATCGGCGTGATCGGTTATAACGGGGATTTTTGATTCCTGTTTTAGATTCGTGGGAAGAGAGGGAAAAGTGGTAAAAGTGGTAGATTACGTAGAGTTTATTCTGGTGTAAATCTTAAAACACGCGTTTAAATACGTTTTTTCAGAGAGATCCTTTACAAAGTTCCTTTGCCGTTCTATATTATTCTTTTGGCATTATTCTCTTGCCTCTACGGCTTTTGATATAAAACATCACGTTATTTAACGGAAGAACCGATAAAAATAACAGATTTCATTTCTTTTTTTTCTTTTATACAAGATCATCAAAATAAATTTTTGAATATGAAATAATAGATCGGTAGTTTCAATGTTAATATAGGAAGGTATGGATTAATTCAAAGCCGATTCCAATATTGGAAATAGCGGAAGAATCGAAAACGGGTTCGAGTAGCTGGACGTAAGAAATTATTTCGAAACTCTTCCCGGTCGAGATGCAAAGGCGACGCGTACACGATTTATCGATCAAGACGATCGTTTCTACTAATGTAATCCTGCCGTTCCGCTTTATCGTGATTTGTGTAAATACCGACGTTTCAGGGAGGGGAGGGGGCCGCGCGCACCGTCGTAAATAAAAAAAAAGTGGGAACCGATCCGATCCGATGGCTTCCACGGCTCCTTCTGCTCACGCAACAAGTCTCCCGCCGAGAGGATGACTTATCGCGCCCCTATCGTGGCTGGAACTTGCTCCATTTCCTTCTCCATCTCCGCCTCCTTCCGTCTCCTTCGTAGCAGCCCACTCCTCCTCCATCCGAGGACAAAACATGGGCCAAGATTCCAATCTTCCAATTTGCAAAATCAAGACGACGTTTAACGATCNCAATCGCAATCATTTTTCGCGGGATACGTGTAACCCCGACTAGCCGCTGCCGGCCGGCCCAACGCTCGAACAATGCTTCCGATTTTAACGAACAAACACCGGGAATTTCCAACTTTTTTATGTTTCCATGAAATTTAATTTCGTTTTTTCCTCTCTTTCTCTCTAAATGATACTCTTTTTATTTTATACTCCCCTTCCACTGTTCGTTACTTAAGCTTTCCTCCTATCTTTTTGCGGAGCTTTGTAACGTTACGTGTACCGATACGCGCGAGACGGTATCCGGTATTTTGTTCGAAAAAAAATTTTCGCAACGTTTTCGCTCCGCCCGTTCGCTCGACTTCTCATCACCATCATCATTACGTTTCTTATCCCGCATGAATATTCATAGGAAAAATTAATCGCCGCCTCTTATCGCCGCGAAGCGGATAAATCGAGGACACGGTGCAATTAACACGGTTCGAACTCGTCGAGGAAAGAATTGGCAAGCGGCGCCCACGCGCTAGAATTCGCTAGAATTTACGGGGGAGTCGATACGCGTACGCGTAGCAGTAGTTTCGTTAACAGCCGCAATAAGCGCTGGTGCGCCATCCGCCGAGTGGATCGTAAGTAAGTAAGCG